CTAAATCCTGGGACTGTCTTGGATTAGCTCGGATTGGACTAAGCTGGATTAAGTACTGACCTACGTTTGGTGCTGCGTCGGACTAAGAAGCTGAGTTGTAAAAATAGTGAAGACCTATGTTTGGTGCTGTGTCGGACTAAAAAATAATTCTTGTAATATTTAAATTTAATTTGAAATTTTGACCTAAAAATAAATAAATGCTACAAAGAAACACAATTCAAAGATTTAAAACAATAAAACAAATAAAATTATGATTGTTTATGAAGAATAAAATTTTGATATTTTTTTTTTGGCTTCTCAAGATTTATCTTAGTTGCTCCTTAGCCTTGCCCCAAGACTACTACAAATCTTCTATTTTTTGTTGGTCGAAACATTACTAAGGAGCTAAACTCACTCTATATAATTCTACGTCTTTCATGGAAGACCAAGTAAAAAATAATTTAAAATATATATATATGTGTGTATAATTTTTGTATATTTGACTTTTGACTTTAAACTGAAAAATATAATTTAACAAGGTAATAATTGCTTGCGATAAAGAAAGCAACACATCATGAATTATTAAACTTGTTTCGATATAAAAAGAATATCAAGCATTTGTCAATTATTATAGTTTGATTTTCCAAATACAAATGTGGTCAAATGCAATATCAAAATAATTCTTGTAATATTTAAATTTAATTACGGATTTTGACCTAATAAATAAATAAATGTTAAAAATCCCAATTAAAAATTTAAAACAATAATAAAAAGAAAACAAATAAAATCCTAATATTTTTTAAAGAGAGGAGTCGGACTAGCGTGTTCTATTTAGGAACGTGCTATTTAGTGAACCACTTTTCGGGCTCACTATATTAGACGGGCGAGTGAGGCCTTTTTTTCACTATTGGACTATATAGTCTCATTTAAGTTAGTCCCGTCTGTTACCAAACATGGGTTTCGAGTGCTATTTAGTCCAGTCCAGTCCAGTGAAGCGTACCAAACATACCCTTAGTGCCATTTGCAAACCTCTAAGGAAACTCCATAACTTAGCCTCTGAAGGAAATTACATGCATTTAAATTTAAACTCATGGATTTTAAGCTATAACATACATGAATCTAACATTCAAAGAGGCAGAAACAAATCTTAGATCTTATTAAGCCTAATGCTACCAAATTCCAAGTATCTTTCTAGGTCTAATCTCACTTATGCACAAAAGAAATGGGAGGAAAGGATGAGACTTTCTTATCCTTGAAGCTCTCTTAGATGGTCTCCAAGTTTTCTCCTTTGGAAAGACCTTCTTCCTTGTTGCTTGCTTCATATTGTCTTCACAAGGTACCAAAGTAGATACCCTCTAGTTTATACACACAAATGTAGTGTAAGAGATGAAGAAGATAACCAAAAGGAGGTGAGGTGCTAGCCCTCTCCGGTTGGTGGCCGGTTCTAGCATGGTAGAGTGGAGATTTCTCTCCTCTCAAACCCACTCCAAAGTTGGATTCTTCAAACCCTAGATAGAAAATGGTCTAAGTGTGGCTTATATAAGCCAATACAAAAGATGAAGCAAAACCCCATCCTTGTATTTCGGCCATAGTGTTTCCTGGGCTCCTCTTGAGCTCATTTAATTTATGTTGTCATACAACACATGTTTCTAAGCCCAATGGGCCTTTTGATTATTTCACCATTTGGCCCAACATGCATTTAAAACACAATTGATTCCAACGGGTCTTTTACGAACGTATCTACAAAAGGGTCTATGTGAACCTAAGGATCACACATTTCCACAAACTGATCTTTTAAGAAAAATTTGTTTTAGACGTTGACCCCTGCAAGGAAAATTTCTGGATCTGTCCCTAGAGATGAGTATCTAGAATTCTAGCTAGATATTTCAAACTCTAAATTAAATGGCTCAATGGTAATAGTAATAATATTCAATGTGGATGTCACTTGTCAAAGAATTGGTCCACTTGGAAAAGTGGCAACCATCTGATCATATGCCACTTGGCAACCATCTGATCATCTGATCATATGCCACTTGACCATCTGGTCTATGTGAACCTAAGGATCACATATTTCCACAAACTGATCTTTTAAGAAAAATTCATTTTAGACGTTGATCCCTACAAGGAAAATTTCTGGATCTGTCCCTAGAGATGAGTATCTAGAATTCTAGCTAGATATTTCAAACTCTAAATTAAATGGCTCAATGGTAATAGTAATAATATTCAATGTGGATGTCACTTGTCAAAGAATTTCATATGCCACTTGACCATCTGGTCTATGTGAACCTAAGGATCACACATTTCCACAAATTGATATTTTAAGAAAAATTCGTTTTAGACGTTGACCCCTAGAGATGAGTATCTAGAATTCTAGCTAGATATTTCAAACTCTAAATTAAATGGCTCAATGGTAATAGTAATAATATTCAATGTGGATGTCACTTGTTAAAGAATTGGTCAACTTGGAAAAGTGGCAACCATCTGATCATACGCCACTTGGCAACCATCTGATCATCTGATCATATGCCACTTGAAGTCAACGTAGTCTTGACGCTGAGGTTGTCAGTGACCTAAAAAGCTCACCTCATTCCTTAACTATGAGGTTGGGGGTTCGATCCCCGCCCATGGGAATGGAGCGCATTTCGTGGCCAGCCGTTTACCTCCATTGGGAGAGCTCCCGCGGCGAAAGGGATTAGTCACTGCTGTCGGCGGTGGATACCCTTGGGTCTCACCTAAAAAAAAAAAAAAAAATTCCCTAGAAAAAGCAAACAAGTAAAGAGCATGAACAAACTATTTATTAAAGTTAACAGTTAAAACGTTTTTCAATTATATACAAGTGATATTGAAAGAAGGAGATTCGAACATATAACTTTTGTGTATGAGTAATTGCTCGTGACCATTTAATTATAGACTAAAATATTCGTTGGGATGCATTGATTTATTTCTCTTTTGAGTTGATTTAATGTATACGAATAGTAGGCTAGTTTTTTTTTATTTATTTACTAATTTCTCTTTTGGGTTGATGTTTATGTATATGAAAACTTAAAGTAAGAATGTAATTAACTGAAAAAACAAATATAAATTAAAAGAAAATTACAATAAACAGAAAATTTTAAGTCAAACTCTAAATTAAACTGCTCAATAATAATAAGAATTAATAATATATACAAAACCTCTGAAGTCAATCAACGTAGTCTTCTGATTGTTGTTCTCTACTCTTTATGTTAGAACAAGTACTTTAGGAACCATTGGCAATTCAAATTTTGTGCCGTCGAAGAGCCAGCACTTGTGTACAATAACATGATCGATTCGAGGAGGATGTTGAAGCAACCATGGCATCTTTCAGTGTCCGTTGCCTTCTTTTCCAGCCTATGCTTCTGGTTTCAGGTGTCCATGGCTCAAAATGCTACTACCGATCCATCTGAAGGTACATTAGCCATGCTTTCAAAAGTTGTACATATATATTTCTAAGCATCTTTTAAATACAGAGTGTATATATGTTGTTTTTTTCTTCCGTTTTGCTATTTCTGGACAGTCTAGTAACATAAGTACGTTATGTGATGTGTGCACAACGATTGAATTGAGAGTGCAGTGAGGGCGTTGAACTCAATATTCGAGCAATGGGACACGCAAGCCGTGCCGGGGCTGTGGAATATCAGTGGAGATCCATGCAGTGGATCTGCCGTTAATGGAACCCCGTTTGAGGATGGAGCTAATAATCCATCCATCATTTGTGATTGTACTTATGAAAAAAATACTACCTGCCACATCACCGCACTGTATGTTACCCTCCTCTCTCTCTCTCTCCATACTCTTTAGTCTTGTGTTGTTCACTGTAGCAACTCCATTAATTATGTGTTAGAAAACTAAGCAGATCATGCCTGATATATCAATTGTAATATTAAGTGCCTTACTGCTCAATCTTTTTTCTTTCCAGGAGAGTTTTTGCTCTGAACAGACGAGGGGTGTTTCCACAAGAATTTGTGGCTTTAAGATATCTGACCTTTTTGTATGAAGTTTTTCCAACCCCTTCTCTGTTGTTTGGTTTATCACAGTTTACATTTTCATATAAAGACACAGGTTTTTTACCGTTCAAAATTGTCACAAATATTTTTTATACTTGGAGATTAATCGCTGGTCGTTTCATTTTGTTTCAATTCTTGTAGGAACATTGATCGGAATTATTTCACCGGTCCCCTACCAGCAGTCGTCGGCAATATGTCTGCGTTGATGATATTGTACGTAGTGAGAGAGCATTTATTTAAGTTTTGGTAGAAATTTTTTGTCTGTCAAATACAATTTCTATAATTGACTCTGGTTCTATTTTCCTTTATCTGTTTTGTAAGCTTTAAGGAACTACTTACTAATTATAATCTTTGAGGTAAGACTAGCTGCTTGGTGATTGGCTTTACTTTTTGTTTTTGGTCCTGATATATAAGTTGGAATTGTATTTCTTACAAATCAATCAATTTTGTTGGTTTATTTGTTCTTTGAGGACCTGAAACATAGATCTCCCAAGTGAGTATTATACCATATGGTAAAAGAAGCACATAGTACTATACAGAAAATTATTCTGTTTTTATCTTTTATAAACAGGTGCTAATATCTTTTAATTGATATATTTCCATTCAGGTCAATTGCCATCAATTCATTCTCTGGGCCCATCCCCAAGGAGCTTGGAAACCTTAAGGACCTAACTATCCTGTAAGCAATGAAACATGACCAAACACAACTAAATTTTGTGTTTTACACAAATGAGAAATACTGTATTGAATTGAAACATGTTAGATATAGAGTCCCCTATCATTTCTGATTATTGCTTTTATTTAATTTTATACCTCTTCAACATGACTTGTTGCAGGTCCTTTGGAACAAATAATTTCTCTGGAACACTCCCTCCAGAACTTGGTAATTTAGTCAAGCTCGATCACTTGTGAGTGCTTCATTGAACTCATCGAATATGAATCACATGTTGCAATGTGTTTTTAATTTTTCTCTAAGGAACGTTTTGTTTGTCATTATCGATGAGCAAGGAATGCATTTATCCTATGAAATTGGTAGTAATCAGTCTATGATTTTCGCAGTTACATGGACAGCTGTGGACTTAGTGGTGAAATTCCTTCAACATTTGCTAAGCTCATCAATCTGCAACTCTTGTAAGTTTTTTGTTTATTCAGTACTTTGAGATTGCTATTCTGGGATGAGCTTACTATGAGTCAACTTTTTGAATTTTAGCTGGGCATCAAACAATCCTTTCTCAGGAAAGATACCTGCTTTCATTGGGAATTGGACAAAACTAACTCATTTGTAAGTATGGAAAACTTTTAACCTTCTGCAGTTTATGAAAGAAGACCTGCATGGCTGAGAGATGGGTCTTTTATTCACAAGCATCTCAAATGTTTTTGTAGGGGATTTCAAGGGAACTCTTTTGAAGGCCCAATACCAACCAGTTTTTCTCAACTGACTTCATTGAACAATCTGTAAGGGCAAATGCTTCACACGTTTTACTCTCTCTCTCTCTCTCTCTCTCTCTCTCTCACTATTCTAGCATCACTTATGTTTGTGTATGATAATGCAGGCGAATCAGTGATATATATAATGTGAGCTCCTCTCTTGATTTTATAAGAAATTTGAAGAGCTTGACTCATTTGTAAGTTAACATTCTCATCCCTTCAAATATCGTGATTTAACTTATTTTTCCTTTTAAAATTTGCAATCTTACTCATTTACTTGTGCACTAAATTTTTTGGTGGTGGAACAGAGTTCTACGGAATGCATTAATCAATGGTAGCATTCCTTCTGATATTGGAGAAAATCAAAGTTTTGTGACAATGTACGTTCCAGCAGATATATAAGTTCAAATCCCAAAAATCCCAATTAATTTTCTTTCATTCTAATTGCTTTCTAACCTTATCATTCATGTTGCAGGAATCTGGGTTTCAACAATTTAACAGGCCAACTCCCAAGTTCTTTGTTCAACATGAGTTCTCTTAAAAATTTGTAATAAGGCCTGCCTTCATTATTCCCTTTTTCTGTATTTACGCCATTGAATTTCCTGCTCAGATTTGGGTTTCAACAATTTAACAGGCGAACTCCCAAGTTCTTTGTTCAGCATGAGTTCCCTTACAGACTTGTAATAAGCCCTGCCTTCTCTATTACATTTTTATGTACTCATGCCATTGGATTTCCTGCTCAGAAACTTAGTCATTCATCTGACCTTTTTCTTGTTTCTTTCTTCTTTTTTTCCTTCTTTTTCTGGGTGCCTTATATTATAATTGAAATTGCCAGGTTTCTTGGAAACAATAGCCTGTCTGGACCTCTTCCAAGCCAAAAGAGCAATCGACTTCAGACTATGTAAGTCCTCATGTCATAAAAGTATGTCATATAGAATGTACTGGCAATGAAACAAGTACTCTGTGTGTGTATGTGTGCATATGGGTGTATCTGTGTACGTGAGATAAAATCTCAATCAGGGCCTCATCCACTGCTGAAAACATTCTAATCGTTTTTCTTATTCAAATTATTTTGAACTTTCATGCATTTTGTGTCCTCTCATTCTGTATTGTTATGTGCAGTGATTTGTCTTACAACTATTTATCAGGAAGCTTTCCCCAATGGGTAACCACAAAATTGCAACTGTATGTCTCCTTTTTAATCTTTCACCTTCATGTTTACAGTTTGAATCACCAGAATCGGTTTGGGCAAAACATATCACTAGGATTTAATAAAGGCTTAATATCCACATGAATGAAATTCAATAAAGGCTTAATATCACAAAACGTCCCTAAGGTTTACGAAACTATCAAAGTGCATCCTTAATGTTTTTTTTTTTGTGTCATTCGTGGTCCTCAAGGTTAGTATGTGTGCTCACAAATAATGTGTGGGACAGTTTGAAGTGATGGATTTGAAGTACTACAAAATGCAATCTTTATTTAATAAACATGTATAGAAGTGATTAGAAGTGATTGAACATGAAATCTTTATTTAATAAACATGTATAGCTTCATATGTTGATTGATTAATGATTTTATGCAGGAACTTAGTGGTCAACAACTTCACATTTGGCAGTTCAAACATAACGTGAGTTGAAGTTTCTCTTACCCTTAGTTAGACAGACAATACTATCACTACTAGCTATTACACTTCTTCAGTTTAATGGATTCTTCCACTACATTTTTCCATCTGGATAAATAATAATTGTTTTCTGTGTCTGCAGTCCTCCTGGATTGAATTGCCTCCAGAGGAATTTTCCATGCAATCGAAATGCCCCCCGATGTAATCTTCTTTTGTTTCACTAGCCATTTATTAATGCATTATCATGTTACAGGAATAGGCATTGCAAGTGTGTTTTGATACATCTAGTTATAAATATGAGTCTTGTCTTGAGTTTGAAGTTTTTATCACTAATCATAGCAAACTTCTCAATTTTACAGATGCAAACTTCTCAATCAAGTGCGGAGGACCACAAATGAGTGGAAGTGATGGCATATTGTATGAAGCTGAAGACTCAGCTCTTGGCCCAGCAACATTTAATGTAACCAGTACACAGAAATGGGCTGTTAGCAATGTGGGTTCGTTTACTAATAGAATGAATGCATCATTTGTGGCCCCAGAGCTTTTCCTGACTTCAAGACGGTCCGCAGGTTCACTGAGATACTATGGCCTAGGTCTTGAGAATGGACCTTATACCGTAACGTTGCAATTTGCAGAAACGGTTTTTTCTAGCACACAAACTTGGCAAAGTTTAGGAAGGCGTGTATTTAATATCTATATTCAAGTAAGGCTGCTAATGAACGATTTGAAGTAAGGGCAACCTCATTAGACAGAATTATTTAACTCTCTCTTCATTTGCTTCCCAGGGGAACCTCAGAAGGAAGGACTTCGACATATCGGAGGAGGCAGGTGGGGCTAACATAGCAGTTGCGAGACGCTTCAAGGTTAATGTGACAGAGAATTACCTAGATATTCATCTGTTCTGGGCTGGTAAGGGAACATGTTGCATACCTGAAGAGGGTGAGTACGGCCCGCTAATATCGGCTGTCCATGCTGCTTCAGGTATATAATATAATGTTAAATTGTGAAGATTTCCTATGAATGGTTTAAATGTTTCTTTCTGCTGCTAAAATTGACACTGAACAATTATTCTATTTCATTGGTCAGATTTTACACCAACTGTTTCTGGGCTTCCACCAACTACTCCAGGAAAGAAGAGCAGGACTGGGTTGATAGTTGGTATTGCAATCCCTGTTGGGGTTGTGAGCTTGCTATTATTATTTGCAGTTCTATATATGAGGAGAAAAAAATCAGAAAAAGATGACGATGAAGGTAAAAGAGCATATTATTAGTGGTTAATTCTGCATGCGGTTTTAGGTTCTTTCTAGTGTTGATAAGCATGAAGCCTTTGAAAGAAATTACTTCCTATTTGTTGTGACATTAACAGAAATTTTATAGTAGCATGTATTGTTTCGAAATTTAAACGTATGTCATACTTTCTTTTGAATATGCAGATCTTCTAGGATTAGGCCCCCGACCAAATACTTTCAGTTATGCTGAGTTGAGAGCTGCAACAGAAGATTTTAATCCTTCAAATAAGCTAGGAGAGGGAGGATATGGACCTGTTTATAAGGTGAAATCTATTTTACATCAATATCTGCTACTTTAAAGTAATGACTTTGACTTCTTACAAAAAGAAATTGAGAGAGAAGCAAAATGGATTCTTTTTACTTCCCTTTCATGTCACTGAATTGTATTTCTGTTTATAGGGTACACTATCTGATGGGAGGGTAGTGGCTGTGAAGCAACTTTCAGTAGCATCTCACCAAGGGAAGAGTCAATTTGTAACCGAGATTGCTACGATATCTGCAGTCCAACATCGCAATCTAGTGAAATTGTATGGATGCTGCATCGAAGGAACCCAGCGCATTTTGGTTTATGAGTATCTTGAAAACAAGAGCCTCGATCAGGCACTTTTTGGTAGGTTTTATAGAAACAGAATACTCTGCAGTTTCAAGGACTCTAAAAGTTCATCCAAGTTTTTTACGCAACCACTTTGTTATAATTTTTCTCTGCTGAGAAGTGAAGTTTAAAGAAACCAAAAGAGTAATATTCGAATCATATAATTTTTCTTTCGCTACTTTGCCTTCTATTTTGCAAAAAAAACAGAATACTCTGCAGTTTAAAGTACTCTAAGGTTACATCCAATTTCTTTTTCTTTTTCTCTTCTACTTGTTATTAGTTGTTAACATTCATTGGTTGTTTTCCATGTAATGTTTCAGGAAGAAATGACTTGCACCTTAACTGGCCTACCCGCTTCAATATATTGTTGGGAACAGCAAGAGGACTTGCTTACCTTCATGAGGAGTCAAAGCCCAGGATTGTACATCGAGATGTCAAAGCCAGTAATATTTTGCTAGATGCAGAACTCTCCCCTAAAATATCAGATTTTGGATGGGCAAAGCTTTATGATGACAAGAAAACACACTTGAGCACCCGGGTTGCAGGCACAATGTAAGCCCTCGTTTATGTTATACATTGTTAATCATGACTAGGGAGGGTGTAATCCAAGCAACATTTTTAGTAAGCATTTGATAATCTTGTAGAGGCTATTTGGCTCCGGAGTATGCAATGCGCGGACATCTGACAGAAAAGGCTGATGTTTTCGGTTTTGGGGTTGTTGCTTTGGAGATCCTCAGCGGGAGACCAAATTCTGACAACAACTTGGATCCTGAGAAGATTTATCTTCTTGAATGGGTAGGAAAACTTTGCCTAGCAACTTTTACTTTAGCATTTGTCAAATATAGTGTAATTGAGAGAGTAAAGAGTGAGGAATAAGAGATGTTTTGCAGAGAATTCTCCCTTATGTCTTTGTATTGCTATCATGGAGATATTTATACACAATGTAGAAAGGGTAACTATTAGTTACAAACAAGTATACAAAACCATGGAGCATTTCCAGGATTTGTGTCTCCCTAAAACATGGAAAATGTAAACATACCTAACTAAGACTTGCCTAACTATGACTTATGTCAAAGCCAAGTTATTTGACAGATTGGGATTTCAAAGATGTAACCACAAGTAGCTTTTTGGTGGATGATGATACCTCATCAACTGAGAGCAATGTTGTCCTCAGCCATCAGCCTGAAGGGAGCACAACTGCTGCTAGCCCCGGGATTGACCCTGCGTCGTCTCCGGTAAATGTGACTGGATCAATGCTCACTGGCATTATAGGAGAAGGAAGGTGAGAGGTAAGAAGTTTCCATTGTCTTTCCCTTGCTGTAAATCTGTGACTCACTCACTGCTAAAACTTTTCTACATTTTGTACTTGTCTTTGTATCTTTCTGTCTTTAGTTTATGGGAATGATGATGTACAGTGCCGGCCCTGAATTTTTTAGGGCCCAGGGCGAAAGAGAAGAATTAAGGCCCTTTTCTACCATCAAAATACAATTATTTTTTTCTACTTGTGTGCTCATTCTCTGCATACTTCTCTGCATACTCAACATCCAAAGCCAAATAGGAGCATATCCTTGACAGATAAAACGAAACAGGAACAGCATTTTGTAGGCAATCAATTACAGCTTACAAGAATCCCTGCAAAGAGAATGTGTAATTCAGGTGACTTCACACAAAACCATATTTTCCTTTCGATTTGATACAAAATCATGAAAATTTACCTTCAATTAATTTCTGGAATGACCAATTTCGCACTGAAGAAAAGCCCAGAAATTCTGAAAAAGTAATTAGATGAACTGAGTGCTTAGATGCTTGGATGAAATGCTTAAGGGGCCGTTTGGTTCATGGGAAAGGAGGCATAGGAATGGGAATTCAATTGCTTTCACATGTTTGGTAAGCCCGGGAATGGGAAACGGATTCCTGGCACATGGGAAAGTAGGGGGGAAAGTGATGCCCCCCTCTTAACTTGGGTTTTGCTTTCCCTCCTCATGGGAAAGTTTGGGAAAATGTGCCAACATTCAATGCACATTTTTCATGATTATTTTGTCCCTATGAACAATTTATAATTACAACGTATCATTAAATGCATTCTTTTTTTATTTGATTTAATATGGGCATAATTGGAAAATTATACAAATTTTGCTTTCCATTCCTACTCAAAACAAACATGGGAAAGGAAATAAAGTGAAATCTCCCGATTACTTTCCCAACATTACCAAACGTGGGAAAGGAATATTTCATTCCCATTCCTTGGGAAATGACATGGGAATTGATTTCCCCTCAAATCCATTCCGTGAACCAAACGGGGCCTAAAGGTTTTTATAATACAAAAAATCTAACGTTAACTTACCTAGAGGCTAGAGCAGTGGAATTTCTGACCAAAAGACAACCTAGAGCAGTGAAATGGGGCTAGCTTTCCAATATTTGCTTTTGGGTCAGAGTTTCAACTTTCAATGCCATATTACTCTTTTTCTTTTTATAGTATATTTTGTTTCTTTGTTGGAGTTCCACGCGCGTACCTACAGACTTTGTCCAACAAACCTCTTTTTCAAAATATTAAATAGATAATAAATCATATATGTCATATAACTTCTATAAAATTCATTGGGGCCCTTTAGATATTGAGCCCAGGCAGTCGCACTTCCAGCCCTGGATGAAAGGAGCCCAACAAACCTCATGTTCAAAATATTAAATAGATAATAAATCATACATGTCATTTACGTTGAGGAATGCGATTTTGTCAAATAGTACTTAATACGTAAAAGAATGATCAATTGTACAGGTTGTTTACTTATTGGGCAATTAATGGGAGACTTTCAAAAATAGGAAAATCTTTCATCTTTTTATATGGTTAATAGTTTTTTTTGCCATGCAATGTAGTTCCTACCTAGTTAGAAATCCTGGTAGGTTTTAGAGAATAGAGGTGTCTTTCTGCGAGTAATTGCTAGAACATTTTCTAATTTTTTTTCCCCATGTGTAAAATCAGGGTTATGCACTAGCATTTGAAGGAGGCACAAAGTCTAATTGTGGCATTCATGGTGATATGCAACTGTCAAATGAGAAGAACAATTTTGAAGGCAGCCATGATGATGATTTTGAGCATGAAAGTAAAAGATACAGTGAAGAGGCTGAAGCCAGACAAGGCCATGATGATGATACATATGTTGCAAATGACGAATATAATGGATATGCAATTATGATGACGAATACAATTATGATGAGGAATGCGATTTTGACGAATTATGACTCAAATATTCAATTCATTTTTCATGATTCAGTTGTATCATGTTACGATCAAAAGGTTAAGCAATTAAAACTTTTGGTTTTTTTTTAATAACTTTTTTGAATTGGTATCAATCTGAGGAGCGATGCAATTGAGCATTGCTTGCATGTCAAACTATGTGAACTATCTGGGACTAGTGTGGTCCCAGGCCCCTACTCAAGTTTTATTTATATTTTAAAAGTAATATATTGTTATGTATTTCTATATGTGTATTATTTCAAATACTTTATGTTTTGATATGTGCCTACATGTGTTGTGGCAGACATATTAAGGCACAAGACGTTCGGCGATCATCTGAGCCTCAAGGACACGCTGAAGTCGGTGCTACGACATGTCGTCCCGCGCGCCATTCTTGTTTTCGAGGGCGGACGCGGTGGAGATGGACGACTACGATTTCAAGATAAAGGACGTGTACGCCGCCAAGTCGGCGCAGCTGGCAGTGGAGGTGAGGTCGGTGGACGGGAGGACGAAGATCATGGCCCTCGACGAGGGGATCGCGATGAACAATCCTACGGCTGCGGCAATTACGCACGTGCTGAATAATAAGCAGGAGTTTCCGTTCTGCAATGGGGTTGAGGATCTGTTGGTTGTGTCTCTCGGAAATGGAGAGTCGGAGCTCGGAAATTTGTCGCCTTCTGGCTGCCTCAAAATCGCCGGGGAAGGAGCTTCCGACTTGGTAAGAATTCTGATTATTTTTTATTTTTGGATGCTTAATTATTATGAGATTAAATGAATTTTACTCGACTAATTGAGAAATTCACTAGTAAAAAAAAATTAATATGGTTTATGATTTGCTAATTTAATATGGTTTTCTAAGGAAAAAAAAAATTGATTTGGTTAATGATTCTTGTACTATATGTATGGTGGTTGGGGTGGCATGATAAAAGTGCCACCTAATTATTAATATTATTATTTTTATTTTAGGATGCTTAATTATTGTGAGATTAAATGAATTTTACTAAACTAATTGAGAAATTCACTAGTAAAAAAAAATAATATGGTTTATGATATGCTAATTTAATATGGTTTTCTAAGGAAAAAAATTTGATTTGGTTTATGATTCTTGTACTATATGTATGGTGGTTGGGGTGGCATGATAAAAGTGCCACCTAATTATTAATA